GGGTGGGGGGGGGGGGGGGGGGGGGGGATTCAGTTGTTTAACCAACTTCTTTCTAGAACTATTTGAAGCATTCACCATACTTACTTGATTATTAATCACATTAGCAACATTTCTAACATAAGAATTTCACTTTCTCTATGCCAAGGGATAATATTGAGGCACTAAGAATTATAAGTCTTCAAACTAGTCAAAAGAATAGAATTGCAAACGAACAAGTATATTTTCCCCTTCAAGAACCAAGCTGGAGTCAAAAGTAAATTTAAACCATACGAATGGGAAAGATCTTTCCAGACATTGAAAAGCAAGATACAAGTAGCATTAGCTTTGATTCTATTGTTTGATGAGAGCACTGAACTTTTGAGAAAAAGCACTCAATGTCGATTGTTGAGTACAATAGGTTTAACAGTAAATCAGACCAGCACTGCCAATAAGTTTCTGATGTAAGAATCAAAAGTACAGACAACATGTATCTTGTATGCAATATTTATCTATTAGAATGGACTTAGATTCCAATCCACTAAAAGACACTCTAACTTTGACATAGAAATAGTATCTCTAGCACCAGCAGAACTGAAATCAAATCTCTAGCTAGGCCATTTTACACATGGGAAACAACTACATTGCTTTTCCAGCAAAAATAGGTTTAGGAGGGGACAACGACCTAATTTCAGGTGCAGATGTTGGAAAAAGTATGTTGAGTTTATGCATTAAAATATCAGACCTTGATGGAATCTCATTCAAAAGAAATTGCTGGACAATTGGTTTCTTAAACCAATCCAGGACCGCATCTCCTGGGGCCCTCAAAACAACCTTACTAACCTCAAAGGGCGATTCCACCGAGCTTAACATCTGTGCCACCACAATTTTCAAAGTTGGTCCAGTAACCAATTTGATCCGCCTAGGAACAACACCATAATACAACATCCGTTTCCTAAACCTATGAAGCGTATGTACCACGGCAACGAGAGCTGCTCCCACTGACAGGTTTCTAACATCAAGGGACCAGGCAATATGTTGATCAAACACTATAGCCTTGGGGAAAAGCTTGTTTTCATAGGCAACTTTCCATACACAACGAGCACGATTTATTTGTCCCATGAGAACAAGATAGTTGAGGAGAACATTAACAAAATACCTTGAAGCTCCTTCTTCCAGCTCATAATCAATGCCTTGGAAAAATTCCCTTACAAAAGTTAAAACTGGCTGTTTCCTCTGCTCTGGCCCAGTAAAGAGCCCACACATGAAAGTGTGAGCCTTATGTCTTGTAGCACTCAAGATTGACATTAAATGCCTCTCATTGTTCTCATCTTGGCATCTTACTAAATGTGCTAAAATTGAAGTGTAAAGAATGAGGTCAACTTTGGCAGCAGAGTTCACATATGTTTCAAGGAGAGGCTTGGCTTGCTCGTACACCCCGCTCTTCATGCATGATTCAAAAAGCTGCCGGATAATGAAATTATTTGTTCTGATGGCTGATGAACCCATAAACCGTAGCCACCTTAAAGCAAGATCAACAGAACCATCTTTAATGTAAACCATCAAAACATCACTAGCATTCACATCAACTGAATATCCCATGGCCTTCATTTCCAGTAAAATCTTTGCAGAAACGTCCAGAAGCTTCTTTTTGGCAAGAAGGGTTAGCAAGGCTGTATAAGTACTCAGTCCTGGTCTCAGACCTGCATTTGTCATTGAGTTATAAAGCTTCATTGCAGCATCTACCTGACCAGAAGCAGCATGCATCTCCAGGAGAGAAGAATAGGTGGACGGAGTGGGCAAAAATCCCGCCTTTTCCATATCTGAGAAGACAGACATTGCAACATCAAGCTTCCCAGATTTTGCATGGGACTCAACAATCATGGTGTACAGCCCATAGTTAGGTCTAAACCCTGATTTTTTCATTTCATCCCACAGCCTTAGAGCAGTCTCTAGTTTTCCAGCTTTCACAAAAGACTCAATCAAGGATACGAACATAGTGGCAGATGGCCTGAACCCAAAACCCTGCATTTCAGTATATACCTTTAGTGATGTGTCCAACCTCCCAGCTTTACCCATTGAATCAACCAGCGAGGCAAAGATCCCAAAACCTGGTCGGAAGTTGTTCACCTTCATCTGTTGGAAGAGCTTGAACGCTGCATCAAGGCGTCCTGACTTAGCTAGACTTGGAATCATTAACTCATAACTCGATGCATCTAATGAACACCCAGCTTTTTCCATGTTCTCATATATCTCAAATGCTTTATATGGCAAACCATTGTTTAAGAACACGGTGATGAGGGAATTGTACGTCCCGGTGTCAACTATGCAACCAGACTCTTGAATTTTCTTAAAACAACAGAATGCTACCTCAAATTTCTCTGCCTTAGCTAGGTACTGGATGACTCGATTATACGCATTAAACAAAGACGACGCCCCATTCTCGCCTGAATCAAGAACCATATCATCGAAAACCGATTGAATTCCATCAAAATCTCTACTTTGGTTCAATTTATCAAACAGTGTGATATAACATGCATCATTTGGCTTATACCAAGGTTGTCTCTTTGCCCACCGAAACAAACTCAATGAAGCATCACTATCTTCCATAACTTTCAATGCTTGCATAATATGAGTCATATTTGGTATAAATTGGAGCTTATCCAATTGGGTCTCCATTTCAGGTCCCCATCTCCACCTCTTCACTATCTCAACAAGCTTTGCTACTGCGGAAGCATTCAAAATAGGCTTTTTCAATCCACCCACCATTACATGGTCATCCAGCCCCGGCTCAACCGACCTTATTCCCTTCCCGGAGTAAATAACACTCCCTGATTCATCCAGATATTCTACATCTTCAGTCCATTCATCACTGTTCTTCCCAGAACAGTAGTATCTAGAAGAAAAGTAAGGTTCTTTGACGTTGAAATTACATGACCCGGAAGTGTTCCGAAATGGATGATAATTCCGATAAATTTCGATTAAGTTCCGGGTATGTTTCAAGTTTCTATAAAACAGAAGCATTATATGGGAGTGAGACAGAGACCGTGGGGAAAGTAATTAGGGTTCCGGCGAAAATGGGGCAAGGGTTTAGCTCGGTACATATGTGGCGGCGGCGGCGGCGGGGTTCATTTGCAATGGTGAATAGTCCACTGAGCTGGTGAATTTGAACCTATTTGAGTTGGTACGAAGGAAAACGTTTTCTTCATCAGCGTCGGAGGAAGAAGGTCCCTAGAACTGGCACAAATGGGTCGGGTCGGGTCATTATATTCACTTTCCATTTTAGTTCTTTAAGAAACAACTTTTTTTAATCTTACTTTCCACAATCCAGTTTTAGATTACATATTTAAAAAAAGGGAAAAGGGTATGATATACCCTTCAACTTTGTCATTTAGAGCTAATATATCTCTCGTTATGAAAGTGACTCGTATATACCCCTATTTTTATACAAATGGCTCACATATACCCTTTTCCTCTAATGGAAATGAAAAAAATTAATTTTCGTTGAGTTTTTTATTATTTTTAAAAAATAAAAATATAATTCCATATGAGTATATTTAATCCTACTCAAACATATTTTTGACTTTTTTTAGTTTCAATGACTAATTTAAATTTATTATTTTGATGGTCAAATTTATTTATGTTTCACTAATATTCTTGTAAAACTTATTATAGATGACCAAATTTTGTTTCTTCAAATACAAAAATTAATTACAATATAGACAAAAAAATAGTTTTAATTTTTTTTCTTTACACTAAGGAATGAGAGAAAAAAAAAAGAATAAGAAACTCAAATAATTATAATCAAAGAAGTCAAAAAATAATTTATGTATGAAAAAGATTAAAATATACCTTGAACTTTGCTAGAAGAAATTTACCCCTAAATAATTTTTAAGAAAATTAAAAGTCAAAAATATAAATTTAAAACTAATTTTTTCACTTCCGTTAAATGAAGGGTATATGTGAACTCATTTTGTAACGGTAGGGGCATATGTGAGTTGTTTGTATAACAGTAAGGGTATATATGAGTCACTTTCATAACAAGGGGCATATCAGCTCCAAATGACACAGTTGAGGGGTATATTAGACCCTTTTCCCTTAAAAAAATTATACGTTTAAAACTCTCTTTAAAAAGTCTTTTTTTACTTTCTTATATTTTATGTCAAGTTAAAAACGAACAAATGGTATATATGTCTATGGTGAAAATAGATTACTTCTTACATGATGTGTAATTGTTTTCATTAAATTCCCACGCGAGAGGCGTATTATATATGTTAATACTTTTTTTTTAGTTTTCTACCGAGTGTCTGAAATCCACATTGGAGCTCCAATTAAATTTGAATCGCACGGGTGGCGCTCCCAACAGAATTTTCTTCATACTCGGGGTTCGAACCCAAAACTTCTGATTAAGGATGAAACATTCCCACTAGTGCACCACAACCCATGTTGGTATATATGTTAATAGCTACGTTAGACAGCTAAATTGGTAATGTTGGACCGACTCATTTCTAAGGCAAACCTGATTTAACATTTGCGCTACAACTTTTTGTCTAAGGTTTGTATAACAAGTGCGTCTTTGATTTTTATACAACAGTGGCTGAAGACAAAAGGATCTCAGTCAAGGTATGCAGTGGTAATGGCTCCATGTCAAAACGTGATGACATAAGTCCATCTTTAGCTCTTTCTACATTAGAAATGTGACCAAAAGATACACAGGCCATACAACTCTGCGCTCATGGAGCATCACCTTTAACTCTCTTCGATATGGCAATGACGTTGAAGTTCATCGAGTCTGGATTTTTTTGCATCATCTTTTGTATAACTTTAGCAGCATCCTGCAACAGTCGAGAATTGCTATGATTAGGAAACGATTTAGAAGAATAATATACTCCACACAACAGTCTACGGAAAATTTTAGATGTCTGTGGTTACACCAATAATCACAAGTGTTATTTGCCAAATCATTGTTTCATACACATTCTGACCTCGATTCATCACTTAATTGTTGTGAATTTACTATGGTTAACTGCTCCTCCGGGAAGAACATATTGGAGTATGCTGTTTGATTACTTAAATCAGCACCCTGAATGAGTGTATCAGATTGTGTGTTCTAAAGTTGATACTAATGTTTTACATGAAAAGGACTTTTATCATGGACTTGTAAAAGGGCAGGTTCGCATCTACTGGGGAAACACTATGGTCAGCCATTGTCAAACACGTTTTATTGTATTTCCCCGTCTCAATTTGGTCTGCTAGAGAGTTTTCGGGTAGTGAGTACTTGCTTATTATTTGTTTTTCATGTAAAAGTGTGTATCTTCAAAGCCCAGATAAGTGAAAATGGTGGAGACTTCCAACATGCAGGTTCTAACTGATCTCATGGGGTCAAAGAATTCAGGTTGTGGTGGATGAAGTGAATACAGGTCGTGGTCGATGAGGTTCAGATTGACATGAAATCTGGGTTTCAGGCCAATTTTCCCTCACTGTTTGGTCCAACTTTCGGCAGCCACTAGGTTTCAAAAAGGAAAGAAATATGGAAGGTTACCTGTAACAGGCTGCTTGGAGTAGATGTACCATGTGAAATTGGTCCGGACTTCCTTCCATCAAGTTCATAGAGTTGTCCTGCAACGTGACAAGTTTATGCTACTTCTCATATTCTGTATTGATAGCTTAAGGTGCAAATATGGGATGTTAAGGTTTAATATAGTCGATAATCACTATATAAATGCAACTTGTTCACTAATACAGCCTCCAATTGTATGTTTCATGCGATCATATGCTTAAATTGTACCGTCACTTCTCTCCATCTGGTCATCCTCAAACATAGAAAAAGGAAAAAAAGTAGCCAAAGCTATTTGTGCATTTCATAACGTAGAATTAGGTCCTTATGCAGTCCAAAGAGAAAGATAGAATATTACCATCAACACATGTGAAGCAGATGAAATGGGTGTCCACATTTACTGGAACCTGCAAAAAGAATTCACCAGATTGGTGCATACTATTAACAGACATCATAAAGTTGAATATGATCTGAAGTGCATATAATATTACACTAGATTGTTAAGCTAACTGTCACTTTCGCTATACAAAAGCTGATATAGAGGAGGTCATGACCTTAAAATTTCATAACAATCACTCTATTTGGATCCATACATTCAAAGTGATAGAGAAACTGATCGAAGTTTGAACAGAAGGATGGTTTTGCTATCTTTGTAACCAAAGTTTAAAAACACTAACTATTGTGCAATTAAATTTTGTTCAAAAACTATGAACACGAAAGTGCTTCCTCGCACGAACAAAGGCGTCAAGTTCTATGCGGTGCACTTTGCAAATAAACCTGGACTTCTTAGCCGGCATACAAACACATAAGTCGTGTCTGTGATGGACAAGGCAAGGACATGGAGACAGTAAGTTGAAACTACAGGGCATGGCAAGAATTGACCAATATACTGCAAAGATTTTATAACAGACCGTCAACAGCCGAAACTGTCAAAAGCAGAGAAAATTTGCATATTCCATAACCCATAGCTTGATAAGAGAAGCCAAGTAATAAGCAGATCAACAAAACTAAAACACAATACTGATTATATTTATTCAAATCTATTTCAATATCACATCACATGCCCATTTGGTTGAAAGTTACAGGACATGTGTGTACAAGAAATAGAAAAAAGAAGTGTTGTCATGTTATCCAAATTCCAAGATGGTATTAGCACATATCTGTGTCCCTAGATTTCAAGGTCCAACCATTTGTGTTTAATTCGGTAATGGTGTGCACTTAAAAAAACTTCTCAAGAATGACATTTAGCATGAGAATCGCCTCATTGTTGATAAAATATTTGTAACTACACTTGAAGATTTTTTTTTTTTTGCAAGAACATTAACACATTTCTTTATTGGTCCTCAACCACCTCTCTGGAATTGCAGACTATCCTCAGTTGTTTGTTTACCATAGCAAAATCTTTTGAACTACATACTGATGAAGTAATTTCTCAATTGTGGTAATAATACAGCCAAGTTTTGAATGACTCAGCAAAATCAATGAGTAGGCCCTTAAATTAACTAGAAACAAAGTCAAATTTCAATTGCATCTTATGCAGGTTCAATATGCACCAATAAAAGTTTTAATAAAGCTATTTGTAGAATTCGCCATATTCAGCTTGTTTATTAATCACATTAGCAACAGTTGAAACATACACTTCCTCTAGGCCAAGGGATATTGAGGCACTATACATTATCAGACTTAGAACTAGTCAAATAGTTCAAATCGCACAAGAAAAAGTATATTGGCTTGTAGCTTGCTTCTGTCCTTGGTCAATTTTGGACTGAAGCTGTTCTGACTGCCGTATCTTTTTTGAACCAAATACCTTCCTCTCTTTTTTCCGAGAATATGCAACAGGTTTACATGAAAAGAAAACTATCATTTTATATCTACAATTGGTCGCATCTTCACTACATTATTTTATTTAGAAAAATAAGAAGACACGTGAACTCTAACCTCAGTGTCACCAGCAGTAGCTGCTACTGAATGAGCAACCTCTATTTCTCTATCACTTTCAAGGAATGAAGCACGCTGCATTTTATACACATGCTAATGAGCTTCGTGAATACTAGGAAATGTTATGTCAGTAACCAAAATGAAACTAAACCAAAATGAATACCTCCATCGGGTCCATGCATGCAGTTGATTTAAAGAACTTGTCCAAGAATGAGCCCTCATCTAGAGCACAAAAAGAAGTATTGGCATCGTGAGATAGATTGGAACAGGAATGGGGTAGGAATCATGTGGAACTAGACTTAGAGATGGAGTTGCACGAGTAAAAGAAGTTGATGATAGATTATCTTATTAAAACTAGTATGGGAAGATGAGATCATCAACACCATTCGTATGTTCAGTAAACAAGATTAAATAAGGAAACTAAAACTAGATTCTAGGAAGATATGGATATCCTGGTCCAAGGGAACTTTACGAACATATCTCTAATAGGGAGGTCCAAACAAACACGAGGAGAGAATATAGTGGTTTCTAACGACTAAATTGGGAATATGGTTATGGTACCAAAAATGAAAAAAGTTGAGTTTGCCTTGATGACTTATTATTCAGTTGTAGACTAGTACACCTGTATTCTGTAAAGTGTGAGAATTTAGAGACTTCTAGTTTTAGAGAACTTATAATTCACCTTAAAGTAAAAATTATTTATTGGAATCACAACTTCGAACTGCCGCAAACAAAAACTGGTATGTCAGTGAAGGGTAAAGGGACGGGCCCATTATCCACAAAATATTGAACTGTGACCCAACTGGCCCCCGGGAATTTTATGGTCAAGAAAAAAATAATTGGAATGACATGAACCTGAATGTAGTAGAATCAATATAAAAGGTTCATATAGTTGATTCCAACTAACACAGGATACAGCTACGGCTGATTGATTGACTAAAAATGTAAATGTCATTTTCAAATAATACATTCTTGAGAATAAGTGGTGATGTAACCAAGAAACCCAGTTCCTACACTACACATCTCTTGTAGATGATAAATGAAGCCCTTGAAAAGCAAAAATCAACATATTAGGTAACTTCCCAGTTAAGAGAACACAATGTGATTATAAGGAATCCAATGCACTGGTCTTGGTAGTACTCTATATTTGATGCAATTGCAAACAATAGATATTTACATGTAAGAAAAGTAAAATGACCTACCAAGTTTTATCTCTGAGGTAATATTCCCAATAGCATGAAGTAGACCAATTGTTCCACATGCATTTCCCACTGTTTGTTTCATGAAGTAAATGGTACTGGTGGGGTCCTGCACCTGCACTCAACTCTCATGAATAATTCCTAATTCAAAATTGTGCAGCAAACAAGATTAGATACATGTAACAGTTAAAACACTCATACGTTGCAATACCACTCAGTCAAAGAAAGGGGAGGATGAGATTGACAAGGATGTCAAGGAAATATTTTCAGAGAAGAGAATGATGAATTGATGATTGCATTTATGTGACAGATCCTGGAAATCCAATTTAGCACCAAATATTTATCATATTGCAATGTTTACCAACTCATTCAAGTGGGATGAAATAGTAGCTGATTCAGATAAAACACAACTTAGAAGAACTGATCAAAGATTGATAGTAGCAAGAAAAATAAAATAGGGTAAGATCCAACTCCCAAGCAGATGCTACATGTGTAGAAAGGAAGGTGGAAGTAACAGACAACTATTCCTTCACTATGAGGTGGCCTCAGACATATGGAACATGTTTATTTTGCCTCTTTGGTCTCGAATGGACCACACCCCCATTTCAGTTAAGGATGCTTATGAGAGTTGGAGCCAATGGAGAGTTGACAAAGCCATCAAGGAGATCTGGAACATGGTTCCTGCTTGTATTTTTTCATGTATCTGGTTAGAGAGGAAAAGGGGATATTTTGATGGGGAGTCAACTCCTTTAGGTGTTTTGAAGGCTATGTGTATTTCTAATCTGTTTAGCTGATCCACTTTGCATCCTGATATTAATGCTGAACATCTTCTGGACTTTATTAGCTCTCTAGTTCTGGCTTAGGTAGAATTTGTACAGCCAACCTGTCATTTTCTGTAAGCTCAGTTGCCATATCTAGTAACTATTGCATCTTCTTGATGCTTTTTATTAATATCACTTCATAAAAAAAAAAAGATACTTAGAATGTAGGCTCTCCTACATCTAGAATAGGAAGTCATGCAAGACAACTGCCTACTCAGCCAGCAAGTAAAGCTTCCAATTAAACTAAAATCTGTCCAAGAGGATTAACAATAGACAATGTTACATGATGATCTACACAACAGAGAAGCAGATGCAAAGACATTATCAAGTAACCACCAACTCAGAACAGCAACGTTCAGTATTAAGAGATATCACAACATGGCCAACCAAATAATTGTTATGGGCATAATAACTTAACGTGTGTCAAATCGAAATATGAACAGATCGAAGTGACATGAAGTTCCTGAATTCTGTAAATACAGCATTCACCAGTAAGAAAAATCAAAGGGTGGTGATGGAAGCACTGCAGTCATATACTCTAATAACAAGATATAGTTCATAAAGATATGGCCATGAGCTCATGACGGTCACCTTTGTTTCGCCGTCTTGCTGTACTCTCTCTGCTTCACTCTGAAAACACATAGCATGTAATTAATGAACTAGCATCAAACTAGAAAATAAAATCTTATTTCTTTGTTACAACAAACCTGTGATGTTAGAGGATAGAGAAACAAAACAGCAAGGACCGGCTTGGGTACCATTCCCAAAAGTTCTTCATCCAACCCATAAACATCATAGCACTCTACCTCATCCGGTGGAACACCACGACACCAAAGGAACTGCTCAATCAAACAAAAAAGGAACCATATCAAGTCAATAAATTACATCATCTCGATTTCTCAAGCTGAGGATCTATCAGAAGCAACCTTTCTACTTCCAACTAGGAGTAAGGTCTGTGTACCGTCTACCCTCCCCAGACCCCACTTTGTGTGATTACACTAGGTATGTTGTAAATTACACTATTCAGACAAAATAAGATCAATCAGCTGATTAAGGTGAAAGAAACTTGCCCTAATCATCCCAATTAGCGGGTAAACAACACTTCAGCTGATCAACTTATTAAATGTGATCATTTTTTCATACGGAAATCAATATATTTGGAAGTTAATTCAATGAATTCTATAATGCGTGACGGATTGAGGAAAAAGATCAGCAAACTCCACGTTTTTTCTACCAAATGAAACCCAGAAAAGATTCAAGTCCAGGAAATGAAAATATCGAACAGATTGGAAAAAAGTAAATAAGATACAAAAATGAAAAAAATTGATACCTGATTCATGACATCAGGATTAGCTTCAAGAGGAAGCCATTTCTTAGCAATGTCGGCCATGGATTCCTTCTACTTCTCTTATCTCTGCTCTGTTTTGGAAGGAGACGTAGCGTATACTGTGTGAACTCTGAAGCGGTCTCTTCTTTATATACGTTTTGCAAAGCTAAAAATCTACTCATTACACGTGTTACTCTTTTGGCTAAACTATATATATGTAGCTAAAAATTTCCGTCTCAGCACCGTTTGATTTGATAGAAAATTTATAATAATTAAAATATATAGCCTAAAATAAATTTTAAATATTTATATAACTATAAATCATCTTATTAAGTGTAAAAGAAGAATATTATAATTAATTTATTTATAATTATAGTAAGGATAACTTTGTTTTTTTGGCCAAACTGAAAAGGAATAAATTATGTTGATCTGATGTAATTGTTCAAAACCGGTTAAGTAATTAGTTTTGGTTTCCCACCCACCCAATTTTAGGTACCCGATTAATCCGAATTCACACATTGCAGGACCATTTCCTTATATATATTATCTTGATTTTCCTTTGAAAGATGCCCCATTAATTGGAGAATCATCAAAAGTATTCGAAGACCTCTTGCATGTTTTCTCTTGTGATAATGTATTCCCAAGTTGGATTTTGAATGTTGTTCACAGTGCTTCGTTATAAGCAAAGACACAATGGGAAAAACTAAGAAATGAATCATGATGAATTAGATATATAATTGGAGTAGTTTATTTTGGTTTTCGTTATGAATGATCAGTTTATCTATTTTGGGTGTGTTACAATTTTTTCATTCACCCTTATACTGAGGTTTTCTCCTCTCAGCAAATGCAGCAAGGCCTTCTACGCGATCTTTTGTGTCTAACAGTTGTTCATAGCAATCCCACTCCAAAGCTAAACCTGATTCTGCATCTAGCTCCACTCCTTGGTCAATCGCACGTTTTGCCATCCTTAAAGCAAGCGGACCCTGTCAGAGATTCATATGTCAAACAGGCAATTCAACTTGGGACTAGAAGAGCATATATATATATATATAGGTAATAAGGGGGAAAAAAGGAAAAGGATAAAGAAAGGCTCTATACATAAGGAAAGGATTGGATTTGGTAGCTACTACCATGTCTTATCCGCACAGGCTTGACTAGTATCAGTAGAACCTTTTTCGATTAATGAGCATCTAGGATGGAAAGCATGTGGAAATTATTAAATGTGGCTTTTACTTGGTTCTTTTTACTCAGCCTTAGCTCTCTAATCCAACTCACCATACGAAACCAGAAATATTCAGAAGCTCATGAAACAGAAAGGTTTCAGCTCGCATGAAGAAGACTTATAAAATGCATCAAAAAGGAAGAAAAGGGAAAGAACAATAGAGCAATACTTGTTGGCTATGTGAACTTGCCAAAAAAATAGCTAAGAATTGAAAAAAAAAAGAAGGGAAAACAACAAAGAAATCCAAAGCAACCAACTATTGGTATAATAAATGAGCGCCCGCCTAATAAGATAAAACAAGATGGGAAAAAGGAAAAAGACAAAGGCAGAAAGAAAATCTGTCACAAAAAATGAAGGTGCACAAAGAGGAAAACAAACAAGCATGGGATTAGTAAATGCCATTAACTTAAGGGTCCAAGGAAGATGATGAAACTCCAAAGAAGAGCTTTAATATCATTCAAAAATGCACAAACGAAAAGAAAGAGCAGCGAGAAACATACTTGATGGCCTTGAAGGGTGTTACCTCATAAAAAATCAAAAGGATAAAAAAAAGTACTCGTGCCAGAAATACTTCTAATGAATCTTTAGATTACTGGCAATTATCTGTGTACAGTACAGTGTGGATATCTTTTTTATATATAGGAAGTGGTGTAGTCCTTTTATGTTTCTTTTTTTTCTTCTTAGTTCCTGACTAAATTGCTATTGGAAGTCATAAAGGGTGCCACACTGGATAAATACATCAAACATGATTTATCTCAATAACTAATGTCTAACCTTCTGATTAATATCCCTAGCAAGTTCAAGTGCCTTGAGACGAGCCTCACCAGCAGGAACACAGTAATTGACAAGCCCTGCATGACATGTATTTTTCATTCTAAGAACCTGGAAAAGAAAACCATAGGAGAGTGGAGACCAGGGTCCAAAATTCCAGTATAGGCAAAAAAGTTAAGAGGATCTCATTCTATCCTGCCTAAACCTTGGCGGATGCTGTTATCCACCTGTACTGTGGGAGCATGCAGGTAACCCAATGGAGTTGTCGAGGGGTTTGCAGACATCACCTTCATTTTTGTATTGATAAGACAGAGAGAGAAGAGGGGGGAGTTTGGGAAAGACAGAGGAGCTCTGTCTCTTGACAAATGAACTATGACAAGTCAAACACGTACCAATTGATCCAGCATCTTTCCCACTTATCTTTCGTCCAGTAAATATTATATCTTTTGCAATTGATTTTCCAACCAATCTAGGAAGCCGTTGCGTTCCTCCTGCTCTGTAAAGTACAATATGGAATAAGAGGGCAGCATTAAGAAAACATCTTAGCATGAAGAATATTTAAAGCAACTTCTGAAGTTGGAAACTAATGAATAGTAAAAATGATGAAGTGACTGCAAGATCGTGGAAATATCCAGCTGATCTGATAGAATTAAAACATAACACTTCCTTGACCGATCTACGGATTTTTTATAAGCAAACATATACAGTGTGATTGAGCATACCCTGGTATTATAGCAAGCCCTGTTTCAGGTAAGCCCATCACTGCATCTTCACCTGAGTAACAGATCATCAAACTAGAGAGAAAGAAAGAGAAAATATGGCATAAACTCAGAAGTACAAGAAGAACATACCACATATCCGGATATCACAAGACATTGCCATTTCAAGTCCCCCACCCAACGCTATACCCTCAATGGCAGCAATTGTAGGGATATGAAGAGCCTGAGTAAAAGAATATTTACTCAAAAGGAGAAAAGAAAGGAGGATATGTACAACTGGCTCATTTTATGGTTGTTAAAGTAATAAGTGAGGAAGAAGAAATGAGATACAGTATGATGTCATGAACCAATAATTTTGAATGTATAAACTCATAACCTCTTCTTTTCATCCAAAAAAAGAAAAATAACTTCTTGAGCTTTACGACTCTATGATCTTTAATAATATTAAAAGAAACAGCATTACAAGTCACATACCTCCAAATAGGAAAATGTTGATCGCAAAGTGCTTACAAAATCCTGAACTTCTGAAAGAATCATAGTTTTTCGTTCCTGCGTAGCAAATGCCAATCAAGTGAATTAGCTATCAATACGTACAAAACACAGTATGAATAACAAACAGTAGAAATACTACTACAGTAGTGCATAAATCAGCATCTGATACCAAATATCAGCCTATTCAATCGTATGACAAACTAATCCTAAATCCAATCCCCACAAAGAAAACCGCATCTGCAAGGATGTTTCAACCACACAGAGGACTTATCAACATGAAAATTGTATGTTTGGCAGATGTTTCCTGGCTTGTGATTTTTTCTTTATCAACATGGTATGCTATACAAATAAGCGAAAAGTTGTAGGTTCGGCAGATGTCTCCTAGCTTATGAAATTTAATTGCTTTTTCTATCAACATGTCATGCTATACAAAAATGCTATCTTTTAGAAGACAACATGACATTACAGAAACAACCCACGAAAACAGCTAACATGAAATGTGAAAACAGATAAAACATTTCTTATTCAAAACTTGGAGCGTTTAGTCTTTACAGTCAGGTGCTTCCCAAAGCAAGCTTTTTTTTATAACCATCGTTTTAGGGCCCCTTACGCGCACCTCGACTAATTCCACGAGATATCTGTCACCTCCCACCAGCAACAGATACCACGTGTGGTATCTCTGTCCCCCAAGGCTAGGACAGGTCAGAGAAATCACCTAGTGTTTTTGTTGGTGCTGGGTTTGAACCTAAGACCTCATGATTCTCAACCACTAAGCCACACCCTTGGGTGCCAAAGCAACTTATTAGTTACTTTTTCTTTATTGATCATATTGTAAATAGGATTCTTTTTGTTCTTTTTTGAAATAGTAAACTACACCTTTTGACTTGAACCCACAGTTTTCATGGTTGAAAAAATGACACAGAAAGAAAGATGTAATATTTGAAAGTCTGTTCACAAGAAATATGCATTGTTAAAAAAAAAAACACAACGTAAGGGAAGCTGTTTCTACCTTTAAATCAGCTCCAGCACAAAACACTTTAGGAACCGAACTGCAGATCATCAAAACATTTGCTGAACGTTCATTACTCACAGCTTCAAACGCTTGCTGTAATCCTCTAAGCATATCCTTCCCAATCGCATTTCTCGCCTCAGGTCTATCCAATTTAACCTCCAAAATCCCTGTAATTCACCCGCCAAGCCTCTATAACCAATTTTTTTTTTAAAAAAAGTTGTTTGATTCCACAAATAGCTACAAAGGAATTAACAAAGTGGAATTACCGGAATCAGAATCGGAAAGTCTTTCCAATTTGACGGACTCAGAAGCCGACTGTAAGATTAGAGTTCTATGACTCTGAAACTGCCATTTTTGGACTCCATAGCTGGAGAAGTAAGAGTTGGAGTAGGGTTTTGATCGCTTCAAGCATTGTTGTCCGACGGATTTAGCTATGGCTACAAATGCAACTACCATTGCTGGAGAAATTAATCGATTTTTGAAGTATAGAGAAATTTATTTTCTCCTCTGAGATTTAGCTGTCCCCAAATGGTCCTATTTGGTGCTAATTTAATAGTCTAATTTCAATATATGTATATCATTTCTACTTAATATTATCACATTAAATGATAGATTTGAGAAATGATTATTAGAAAAATAATTTTGATACTTCAAAAAGAAGTATTTGTATTATTATCTTGATTAATTTCTTAATATCTTGGTAATATAAATATTTAATATATTAATTATTCTAATATTTCCCAACTTTTTATGAATTATCCTAATATATTTTTAATGACTATTATAGTCTTTAATTGACAATTATCTTTAATACCATTTCTAACATCCCTATCTTTGACCTCTTTATTGTCATTACTCCTCCTCACATTTGCTCTTTTCTAATTATCAATTAATCTTATTTTTAACCATAGCTTTGGGACATGAAATTCAATACTGACCTTTATTAGTGAAAATAAAAAATAATGTAAAAA